AACATCTCTCACGATCACTTTGATTTCTTTGAGTACCTTGTCAGCTGTATCTAACATTAAATGGTGCAGCCGTAGAAAAATTGCTGATTGTGCATTCAAGCGCTGATCTACCGTATTGCACAGTTCAAATCGATTTTCACCGGCGTCAGGCGTCTCCAGCCGTCTGTCGTCTTCGCCTAATTTTTAAAGGACTTCTTACTTTTTGCTTTTGCAACTTTTGTTGTGGTTTCATCTTCATTCTGACTACATTTCTTCTGCAGCTTCTGTTTTGGTTTGTAATCTCTGTATCCGCTATCGTGTTGATCGTTGCTCGCGCCTTCCAAGTTTTGTCGGTTTTTTTATTGTTAAGCATGATTCCTTTTTCAGGGAACCTTCGATTTGGGTGCATCGCTATTTGGAACGAAAATGAGCGACGATGGATGGGGTGATGCCCCGGGAGGCATGACTAAAGGTCGGTTTATGGTTTTGGTGGTTTAAAGAAGTAAATACAGAACGGTTATTTCTATTTTGTCACCATCATTTCTCCGATCCACTTTCCTAAAAATGTTGGTACGGGCTAGCAGACGGAAACGTTTCGGTTTCTTTTTGTTGCACAGTCAAAAGATAGCGAGCTAAAGCGGAACATTATACTTGCGGTTTTACTTTCTATATAGATATTCAAGTATTGTTTAACAATTCATTGTTTCCAGATGACTGGAATTACTCACCCACCAAGAAGATGGACTTTGACGAGAGACCTGAAGCCAGTTCTGAACGCAAGGACGATGACGGTTTTGCTACCGGTGGATTTGGCGGAGGTGACACTGGCTTCAGACGAGGCGGTTTAACTCGCGGGACAGCTCCGAGGGGGCGAGGAGGATTCGGAGGAAATTCGGGATTTGGTGCCAGCAGTCGTGCTGAATCTGATCACTGGCCCAGGAAAAACTCGGGCTATGGAGGAAGTGATTTCGACAAGAAAGACGGTGATAGAGATCATGACGATGGTAAATCTGGATTTGGGAATTCCGGCTTTGGAAGCAGTGGATTTGGAAGTTCTGGGTTTGGAAAATCTGGCTTTGGAAACTCTGATTTTGGATCGGGAGCGAGTTCAGGTTTTGGACACGGCGGAAATGGGGGAGGTAACTGTTGTACATCATCGTGCCAGACTTCCTTGTTTCGTGCAGCTGGTGGTAATGGCTCTTGTTCAGGCGCTTGCTACAATTGCGGCGAAGAAGGACATCAGTCACGCGATTGCCCCCAGCCCAGGAAATCTCGAGGTAAGCTTCTGGAATGCAACCAGTTCCAGGATCATTGACCTCACATACGTATGTTCATTGAATTTTAGAATTCCCACTCCAATCATCAGAATCTGAGTTAGTCTGGTTTTCAAGTAAGGAGCTTATATAAAAGGCTGATTACGAGAACGATAGCACCCATTCCGCCATTTAGGACTTCTAAAGATCACAGGGGTTCTGTTAAAGGCAGTGTCCCCCCAAAAATTCGTTCCAGTTTTTCAGCTTTTTGGCTTCTTGCCATGCTGAAGCCATATCTGGGCTTTTCAGCGC